CCATTATCTTTCCCCCAAACAGTCATGGCAGTTCACAAAATTTAATATATATTTAATAAGGAAATTTTTGTATATTAACATCAAAATGAATATTTCCATTGTGAAAACATGATACAAGGTTTAAAAAATCCAGCTTAAAATATAAACATGTCAAACATTGAAATTTTTATTTATATTATATATATATATATATATTTTTTTTTTTTTTTAAGCATTTCACCCCAAACAAGGCGGGAAGCCACTAGGACGCAAGGGGTTACAGAAAATTTAGAGCAAGATCAGATAGGAGTGATAGAAGAAAGGATGAGGAGAAGGTGGATAGATCAAGGCAACTAGAGATGTCGATTGACATTATATTTGAATAGCTGGAGATTATAGCTCTCGGGGAAACAGGAATATAGGGAGGGGAGTTCCACAGGCGAGAGGTGCGAGACATGAAGCTATTGGAGTAGAAGAGACGGCTACATTTAGGAGTTTCGACAGTGAAAGGGTGAGAGCGGGATGTCAGCCTCGTAGGGCGCTTGAACTCATGAAGTCTGGGAACCAGCGAATGCAGCTCCTCGGAGCAATTTCCATGAAAGTATTTGTAAAACAGACGGAGAGAGGCGACGGCGCGTCTGTGAGAAAGTGACTGTAGACGAGATGCCAGATCAGGGCCAATTATATTGCATATCCGCCTCTGGAGCCTATCAAGAACCCCGAGGCAAACAGAAGGGGCTCCAGACCATATATGGCAGCAATACTCCATGCAAGGGCGAATTGTTGATTTGTAGATCTGGAGGATCGATTCAGGGAGAAAAATTTCCTGGCGCGGCACAGGAGCCAACTTTCCTTGCGGTGGACGAAGCAATTGACTCAATGTATTTGTTCCATCTCAGGTCAGCAGTCAACGTGAGACCGAGCAGCCACAAAGAGAGTTGCTCTCGAGAAGTTGAGCGTCAGACATTCTAATGGGGGAAGGGAAGGATCTCTGTGGTGATTAATAGAGAGCAGTTTTGTTTTTGAAGCATTAAAGTTGACCAGCCAATTCTTGCCCCAGTTCACAACCGATTGGAGGCCTTTTTCGAGACGCACGGCCAGGTTAGTTTTGTCAGTGACACTAGATTTGTTTTTGAGGCAGGAATAAATTGTGGTGTCATCCGCGTAGATGCCAACTTGGGAATTTATGGCGTCAGGAAGGAGAGTGGGGCCTAGGATGGAGCCTTGAGGAACACCTGCATTCGTGGGATAGGAACTGGAGGAGAATCCGTTGAGAACGACCTTCAATTCACGGTTTGACAGGAATGATTGTATTAGGTCAAACAATCGACCCGTAATGCCATAACCCTGGAGCTTTGCGAAGAAGGCCGGCATGCCAAACCCTATCAAATGCTTTGGAGATGTCTAGTGCCACGGCACGGGCTTCCCCGTTATTTTGAAGAGCTTGGTAGACTGTTTCAGTGATGGCTGTAAGCACATCAGCTGTAGATCGGGCAAAGCGGAAACCATATTGCTTGTCTGAGAGCAGATTATGGGATGTGAGGTGGTTAACCACCTTCTTCGGTATTGATTAGGGCTTCGAAGACTTTGCCGAAGAGGGGAAGGAGACTGATAGGACGGTAGTTAGAAGGGTCAGAGGGGTCACCAGAGTTCTTGAAGACAGGAACAATCGAAGAGGACTTCCAGCAGTCAGGAAAACAAGATTCCTTGAGGCAGTAGTTATATAGTTTAGAGAGGGCGGGCGCCAGTTCAGGCGTGCATTTCTTCAAGACAATGGCTGGTATCCCATCTCCACCACTAGCCTTGTTGGGGTCTAAATTGGAGATAACGCCCAATACCAAAGATGGGGTTATGTTTAACCCACTCAATATGGCCTCAGTTCTAAGAGGGAAGTCGGGTATGGGTACACCGGAAGAGTCGAGCGTTGAGTTGAATGAAAATTTCGAGCAAAGCATTCAGCCTTGTCGGTAGAGGAGGTCAAGACTTCGAACTGGTTGAATAAAGGAGGTATAGAGGGTTTGCAATAATTTTTACGCTCTTGCAGAGACGCCAATAATATTGGAGCCAAATTTGCGAGATGCAATACGTTCCTTCATCCGAGCCGCAAATAGTGACTTAGCATCATTGAGGACACGCTTACACTCGTTACGGGCGGAGGCAAAGAGACGTCTATTGCAGTCAGACATGTCGCTCGAGGAAATAGGTGGATTTTGGTTCCTATGGGCGATGGCGGCTGAAGCAAGCAGCGGAGAACCAGGGGGAGGAGCGCGACTTGACCTTATATTTCCTTGATGGGATGAAAGCGTCGATTCCAGCTTTAACCCAGGATGAGACCTCAGAAGCACATTCTTGGACGGGAGCTTAAAGACTCCATCCCAGGGGACATCGCGGAGGAAATCACGGAACGCGTCCCAGTCAGCTCGTTGATAGTAGAACAAAGTTCTAGTGGTAGGAGGTTCTTTATAGGGGGTGGAGTTGAAGGAGATGTTAACAGATACTACTGCATGATCAGAGTTACCAAGAGGGCAGAGTTGCGTGGCGCTACAGGATTCGGGGATGGAGGTAAAAACACAGGTCGAGAAGAGAGGCTTTACCTTCCCGGTTGAAGGCAAAACGAGTGGGGAAGTTAACTATCTGTGTGAGGGAATGAGAGATTGATTGAAAATTGAAGCGTTTGAATGCCTGCGTGGTCAGTAGTAGCATTCTTAAGGTATTGGTGTGATGGGCGTTAAAGTCACCAAACACAAAAATGTGAGCAAACGGGTGGAGGGAGAGAGCCTTGTCTATGCTGTCAGAAATGCTATCGAATATATTCACAGTCTTGAGAGGATGGAAGCGGTAAAGGAAGAAGAGATAGCTTATTTGCATTAAGGAGAGAGAGAGTCGGAGACACATGTATGACTGGTCTGGCGATTCGAGAGACAACTCTCTGGCCAGAGGAGATGTTCCTTGATGTAGACACCAAGACTGTGCATGTGGGTTAGAGAGTCTTTTTCTGAGGAGAGGAAGGTAGCCGGGGATCGAGAGATCAGAAGAGGGATAGACGAGACAAGGTTTGTCTAACAGAGAGCCAGTATATCCGGGCAGTTTGCAGTTGAGGAAAGATTCCAGACTGCAGAAGTTTGTTCCTAATGCCACGGATGTTGGAGAAAAAAATGTTGAGGTTTAAAGGTGATTTTTGAGAGGCTGGTTTAGGATTAATTTTTCGGTTTTTGTAACTCATGTTGGAATTTTGTTTGTAAAGATGAGAAGGTTGAAGATAAAAAAAAACAGACAGTTTTCGATTTTGACGTGGGCAGAGAGGAGTTGGGAACAACCTGCATCATTAATGTGGCCTCAGGGCTGCCCACCGGAGGTGACTGCAGGGACACCTTTCCATGCGCGACATAACACTACAAACACCCGGTATTATACAACTGTTGAGATTTTTGATTATGTCAAGAACGCTACAAAAATTTTGTTTATCTCAAAGAACTACCAGTCGGAAACAGCAACCAGAGAACTGTCATTATGTAAACAGATGATGCAAGAATAATTAAAGGCCGGAGAGAGAAAATTCAGACCCCCAGGAAGAAATCCCTTCCTTCACCTTAACAAAAAAAAAGGTTTCTTTTTGCCAAAACATGTCCAATAATCTTGGAAAAAATCTAAGAATGTTAACCTAAAATTCTATTGATTTTACCTACCTACTCCTCATGCCTACAGATAAGCACAAGAAAATTACAAAAATATCTCCCAAAGGATGGGGCGGTGGGGAGATAACAGGCAAGGAGTCCTGGTTCAAACTTTCCTATACCTTATCACATTAAGCTTCAACTTTTTATAAGTCCCATTGTCTATTCTAAAAGAAATTGAAAATAAGGTTACCTTTTTTTTTCGCATCTAGCCAAAAGACATGAAAAATTTTCCATTTGAATATGATTTTTCTTTTGAACTCAAATATTTTAAAATTATCAAATAAGGGAGAATCATTGGGACAAAATGTTTTAGAAATGGTAGACCTTCACATTGACGATCATATAAAAAAATTTTCTGACAATTTTTAAATCATTCTTCTTCTTTTTGGTGCCATTTCATTTTCTTCAGAATATAGGCGATCAATGGGCCTCCACATCCTCCAAACATTTTCAAAATTGCTTAATATAAAATTTTCTTTTCTCTTTTTTTCTGTTCTACCATCCATTTACTCAAACCCATCAAGTATGTTAAGAATTGTTTTCTGTTGTCTTGCTTTCCCTCAATCTATCCTGTGAGTATCAGATTTTCCAAGCCCTCCTTCCTCCTTATATGCCCCAGAAATTTCAACTGCCTCTACCTGATGTTAAATATAAGTTTCCTTTTAGTTTCCATTTTTCTAAAACCTCATTGTTGCTTACATGTTCAGTCCATGGTATCATGAGCATCTTTCTGTAGAACCACATTGGTTCAAGTTTTTCATGTTTGAAGAGAATGTCCAGCATAAAAAATATTGTTATATAGAAGGACTGATATCACATAACAGTATTTTATTAATTTTTTTTGAAAACAAAGTTTTTTCTGTCTCTTTAATACTCTGCTTATTTTTGGAATGCATCTTTGGCTATATAAATGCATCTTCAGATCTCAGTGAAAATTTTCCATTTCTGTTAGAGCATTTCCAAAAGAATTTAAATTTTAATATTATTTGATTTTAGTATCCCTGATTTGTAATTTGCATTTTGGGCTCATCCTTTTGCTAACAACCATGCATTATGTCTTCTTGCAGTTGTTTTTTTATTTTTTTCTTAAATCTTTTTATTTACCTTCATTGTAGGAAATTTTGTAGTTTGCTTTTCTGTATGTGAAAACAACACTAGTACCATCTAAAGACAAAATTAAATTAAGATTTTTGTTTTTTTTTAAAAAAAAGGACATCTAATTCTCTCAGAATTGCTTCTTTTTTTAAATAGGAAACTCTTTTATTTCTTCATCAGATATTACAGAATTTCAATTAGTGACTATAGCATTTGACCATTCTGTTCTTTTTTCTTGCTATTTTTCAGGAAAACATTGCTCAGCAATTCCTAAAGTGAATCATACAACCACTGATACTAATGACACATTTTTTGGTTCCAAATTTAATTACCAATTTAAATCCATGGATTTATTTTTTACAAATTACCAATATTGTCTTTTAATATAGAATTTATAGCTTATATACATATAATATACAGTGCCATCTTTTAAGAATGAGTGATTCTTTTTATTCTCGTATCTTAAAAAAATAAAAATCTTTTCATTTCAAAATTAAATTTTTAAAAATATAATTTTTTCAAAAAAGGAATAAAATTCAAGGATCCTTCCCTTTCAAAATAGTCATATTTTTGCAAGAAACAATATATATATAAAACTTTTATATATATTAATAAAGGCTTTTATTTTTGGATGGATTCATTTACAGAAAATTTCTTTCATCTGTCAACAAAATGTCACATGGGCATTTAACAATGAAGAATGCCAAGGTAATATTTTTTTTGTTCTATTTTATTTAGAAAGATGTTTGATAATACTGATAACATTGTCTAAGTATTTATGTTTAAAATAATGTCATACTCCTATGTTGGTTGACATGTTACAAAGGAAATATCAATTTGAGTCCTCAAGATTTAAAAAAATTTTTTTAATCAAATTCATCCTGTGCAAGTAAAGCCACAAAGATACAAGGGCTTTCTTTATAAAAAAGCTTGTTTTGATTCTTTTATATGAGAACAACAGAAAAGTAATCAGGAAGACAGTAGTAAACGATTGACATTGCATTTAGATTTTTGAAGGTCAAAGTTGGCTGGAAAGCATGGAACCAGAAGAGAATTCCACAAGGGAGAAAGAAAACTGTTAGCATAGAACTTAGTTACATCTAGACAGTTCAACTGTGAATTGATGCACTTAAATTCATAAAGGCTAGGTACCATCGTGAAGAGCTCATCCTAACAATTACCATGGAGGTATTTATAGAAAAGGCACAGGGAAGCGGTTTTATGGTGGTGGGAAAGTGAGTGAAGCTGAGATACCAGGTCAGGATCAATAATATTGCAGATTCTTCTTTGGATTTTATGAAGAATCTCTAAATAATTAACCTATCTCTGTTATGTTAAAATTTGAATTCTATGATTCGATGGAATATCATTGGTTGAATTTGTCCTTTCTTAGTTTATCTTTCTTCCTTATTTTTTTTTTTTTTTTTCATTTTTTATTTCTTTTTTCTTGGCCTTTTTCTACTCTTATTTTTCAATTTCTCTCTCTCATGTTACTAATCACTGAGCTTCCTAAAAAAAATCCACATATAAATTTTTTTTACCTTTTTGGGAAACTTTCCAATGATGCAAGTGGAAGATGTTCTTCATTAACTGCATTTGAATAAAAATATTTTAAAAGAATACATGATTTCCCACCTGATGAAACGATAAAAAAATTTTAATGCTGAAACAAGATGTACAGTTTTGTAGTGGGCATGTGATTTCCCACCTGATGAAACATTAAAAAAAATTTTTAATGTAGAAACAACAGTTTTGTAGTGGGTATGTGTATGCTCTAATGTAACACTGCATAATATATATATATATATATATATATATATATATATATATATATAAAAAAAATCTGATACCAGAAATAAATTGTCTTTGACACCCAGAAATGAAAAAGAAAAACAAGAAGGAAAAGGAATAGGAAGGCAGTATAAAGAAGACAATAAAATGATGAAATGGGGAAATAAGCACAGCATTTGTCACATAGGCATAAGGTGTTCAAGATTTAATTGGATATAACATCAATCAAATAATTGACAAATTTTTTTTTAAAAAATTGATATATTATATATATATATATATATATATATATATATATATATATATATTTCAATCAGCTTTTGTTAATTGGACATCTAGCCACACTGAGGAGCTTTGATACAGTGAAACAGTCTGTCTGTAGATGACTATATTAATATGTTCCTGGAAATCTGGTTGAGCTCTCTAGGGAAAGGGTTTTTTAAAAGCAGTGGCTCCTACTACTATAAAACATTACTCTTCAAGTATGAATTGCATTCTCTGAGCCGCTGGCGTATTTCGTATTGGGAAAAACGTTAAAATTCCCTTCCTTTCTGCCATGCGACAATGGCCTAGAGGTAAAATATCTGACCAATGTCAAATCAGTCGGTTTTCGATCCTGGCTTGAAGCAATTGTATGTCTAGCCACACTGAAAAGCTGCGATAAAGCAAAACAGTCTGTGTATATATATATATATATATGTATATATAGTGGGCGTAAAAGCAATATTATCCAAATCATGTAACAGCATAATTGTCCATCTCACAAAATGTTTAATATCTAAAAAAACCACTAAACTAACTGAGTCTAACCATCTTGACACCATTTGTCATAAGAATCACTGAAAAACCCTTTGAATTATTCAGTTAGAGAGAGAACAGGTTAAAATCGTTTTGTGTCAGCCCCACTGTCTTCCCAAATGAGCAATTGTGAAAGGAAAAAGATCATTCATGCCTTTAGTATGGTTACCAACATTCATACTTTGGGTTCCATCTTCAAAGTCAATTCATGAACCAACAAGAAAATGATGAATAAGTTTAAAAAAAAAGAAACAGTTGAGAGGAAAACTGGATCAGAAGGTCACAACAGGAAGAGGGATCATCATTTCAACTTAGAGCTAAACAGATCAATTCAAAAAGATCCAACTAAATTCATAAGACATTTGGCACATGAAAGGAGTTTCAGCTCTGATGGTCCAAAAAGCAGTGAAGAAGACTTTAAAATGAAATTGTAAGTGAAACATGTGAGGCAACTTGTTATTCCAGGACAGAAAGTTAGAAGCTTAGAAAGGACAAAGGTCATCTTGAATAAATTGGAAAATGATCCTGAAATAATATATATATATATATATATATATATATATATATATATATATAAACTTTATTTCAATACTTCAGGAGCTTCCAAATTTAGCTATGATTAATTAATGATGTCAAAAATTTATGACCTATTTCATCACAATTCTTCTTGCTTGAAAGTAATTATACATTCTTATTGCTCAAAGTAGAGCCCTAATAGTGTTATAAAAACCTTTGAGAATTCCAGTAAGATATCTTTAATCATTTCTAAGATACGACAGTTTAAAGCTTAACAAAAAAATGGACAATTTTATATGATTTGGACAATATATATTGGCTTACATTAGGCTTCCAGGTGAGTTTTCTCAACAAAGAAAACATAGAAAATGGGGTGTAAATAAAAATACAGGCCATATAGAAAAATATTTATTAAACATAACAAACATAATGTGAGAATGAACAATATATATACAGGATGATAACAAGTGAATGTATTTACATCAAGGCTGTCTTTTCTTCCTGAATAAAACTTATTTTAACTTTGCAGGCAAAACAATGTTATTTAGTTATATAGTGGACTTTATAATTCGTATAATCTCTTCAGTTTAAGCACACTGTCACATATTTGCTGTTAGTTCTCTAATCAAACTCCAATTGGGAGATTTTTCTTCTTGGGAAGCTCACATGAATATACATGGTGAAGCCTAGCATATAACATTTGGCAACAATAAATGCCAGGAAAAGTAGATTGTTGTGCCATGCATCCAAATCCTTTCTACATTGTAAATTTTTAATTTTGCATGAGTTTAAAACCTATTTTTTGAGGCTGATGGAAAATGCCCAATGATTTCCATCATGAGACAGTCTCTTTATAGATAAATATATCTATATAGCAATAGTCAATACAATTGTTTTACAGATTGATTCAGAAAATTGTAGTGAGTTTGATCACCAACAAATACTTTTCTAGTAGTCTTGGTACCTGCTGAATTAATGTTTGCAAGAAAGATAACATCAATATTCGACAAATTGTTGCCTTGTCCAAAAAAGAAAATGCATAACAAAGAGAATTTCTGTGCAAAGAAGTATACACCTGGTGATAAAGTTTTCTTTAATGTTTTTGGGAGGATGGAGTTATTTCAAATAGAATTGGAATAGTAATCTATACGGTGAAAGGAAAAATATGTGTATGCAAAAGGCATGTAAACCAGTTAAGACCAAGATACTCTGAAATTGTTCAACAGGGTGATGAAGAAACTCTGATGGATTGTCCTGTATGACACGTTTGAAATAACAGCATTCCCAAACATACCAGAATGCATGGATACATCTCCTACACCAGCTTTGCCCATATGATTGTGATGTTATTTGCCTTGAAAGAGTAAAAGGAAAAATGACCCACAGTGCAGCTAAGTCAAGAACCAAAAAAGAGAAAATATTAGAAAGCTAAATTTCTAGAGGAAAATTTCAGCTTGGGAGGAGGTGATGTAACCTGTCACCCCCAGGAGTGACTACACTATAGGCAAGTATTTGTAAGTCAACGAACTACAGAGACTAGCTGGGATTTGTTGAGTACAACTCAGACTTACACAAGAACTATCGACCTTCCAACAGTAGCACTTACTACTGGATTGACTTGCAATGACCTTGTGCATAACTGTTACCTTTGTTCTTACTGTACTGGTTTTTTTACAATAAACCTTTACTTATTTTATCCACCTTGTTTTTCAAGTATATATTCCTATTAGCACGGAATATAACAGTACCAAGCTAAGCTAAGCCTACTAAAGAACTGAAATAATTTCATCATTTAAAACAGAGTTATCTGAAAAAGGCCTGTATATGATTTTAAGTTTTGTAATTGTCATATTTCTCATTTGTTCTGATTCATGCTGATTAGAAAAGACTAATCCAAATAAAATCCATTCATTCATTTTTTTTAATCCGTATCACTCATGCAAGGCAGTAAGGCCACTAAGATGTAAGAGGTTACAGGATGTGGAAGAATTAGGAACAGAAATGAGCAGAAAAGAAAAGAGTAAACAGGAGGATAGTACATAGCAATTGACATTGCATTTAAATTTTTGAAGATTAAAGTTGGCTGGAAAACATGGGGCTGGAAGGAAGTTCCACAAGTGAGAAATGCAAGAAAAGAAACTGTTAGCATAGAACATATGGCTACATCTAGCCAGCTCAACTGTAGATTGATGAGTTCTCAATGCCAGTCTAGTACTGTGCTTAAATTCAAAAAGTCTAGTGAAGAGCTCATCTGAACAATTACCATGAAAGTATTTACAGAAAAGACACAGAGGCAACCTTGTGGCGGTGGGAAAGTGACTGAAGCCGAGCTGCCAGATCAGGACTGATAATATTACTGATTATTCATTGGATCTATCAAGGAGTACAAGGTAAATAGCAGGGACACAGGACCATATGTGGCAGCAATATTCTAAGCATGGATGAATGGTAGACTTATAGATATGTAAGATAGATTCTGCAGAGTAAAGTTGTTTTGCATGACACAGTGAACTGACTTTCTTACCAGCTGACTTAGCAATGGATTCAATATAGTCTTTCCACTTTATGTCCACTGAGAACATCAGCCCAAGAAGGCACAACTTGTCACTTACCTGGAGGTTAGCATCAGCCATGCTGATGGGAAGCAGAGGGTGGGGGAGTCTCTCATATGATTGATGGAGAGAAGTTTAGCTTTGGAGGTGTTAAAATTGACAAGCCATCTTTTGCCCCTATTAACGATGGCCTTAAGTTTTGTTTTTCTTTGGTCCAGTGTGTAAAATATACAATGTGGTCTTCATAATGAAAACATTGCACTGTGTCTTTTTAGAACATCTTGCATGGTGATGGTACATGACAATTTCATAAAAATTTGAATTTCTACATATTAAGTTGTTTAGAAAGTTATGACACATTTGGAGAGGAAGTAAAATGTGAAAGTTGTTGTGGAAATCATCTCTTTGATAAAATCTTTAAAAGTAAAAGAGCAATCGATATCATTATTCTGTGTATATAACTGTTTCATTTTTCTACCTAGGTTCAGAGTGTAGTATCTGCCTGTGCCCCGGCTGTTCTGAAATTAAAACAATGGCTCTCTGAGAAATTCACGCCTATCTATCCACCAGATCGACATTCGGAATCCTTTCATTAGGTGCATAGAATGTGTTATATATGGTTTTGAATTCACAGTTTCCCTTCTCCTAGACTGGTTGCCAATCAAGGCTGAAGAACTCAGTCTGCCATATTTAACCTATAGTTGGAGAGAGAAGAGATGGATTCATACCTTATCTGAGGGTACTTTCATGAAAGTGAATTGTAACAAAACTTAACTGGAATTCGAATTCAGATCTCCAATTTCTTATTCCAAGCTGAAATCCATTACACCACCCACACATCCTAGGAAAGCCAAATAATAATATTAAATGAGAATAAATTGCAAAAAGCAAAGACGATGTGAAAAATGAAAAGGAGTTAAGAAAGCTAGGAAAAATATGAAAAGGAAACCAGATGAAAGGAAAAAATACTTATCTTTCTACATACATGAGGAGGTTACTGAAAAGTTCTCAGCTCAACCAAGAAGGGATTCCAAAAAATTCTGATGTTTGGTCATTTGGTAAGATTTGTCAAATTAGGTGATGCTGAGATAAAGAAGAGAATGATAAAATACAGGCAAAGGGTAAGAAAAGAACAGATGATTGGGATAAGCACATGCAGGACATTTCCAAAGGGCCAGTTAGTTCAATGAGTTTAGAATTCTTTTCATCCACAATTTTATATTCTTAAATTAAAAAATAAAAGAATTAGTTTCATAGTGGACTTTTACTTAAAAATTTTTTTGTTTAAAAAAAAAAAAAAATAAATGTAACATTTATTACGATTTAAACAGGTTAGAAAACAGATGTAGTTCTACAAAAAGGATTCAGAGAATACCATGTACTAAACATGTGAGCAACAAGAAAGCTTGAAGGAAAATGGAAACAAAAAGGAAACTTGTGCTTAAAAACGGAGACAATTGAAATTTCTGGGATGCATGATGAAGAAAGAGAGATTAAAGAATTTGAAGCTTACAAGTCATATTGAAGACAAGTCATATTGAAGACAAGATTAATTAAATGGATAGCAGAACAGGAGTTGGGAGGGCTAGTAAGGAGGCAAACATTTCTTAGAACTATAAAGGATAGTAAATGATAGAGAGAGCTATGATTTCCCATGTCCTGAAATGACATGGTATATAAAAGATCTAATTTCCAAAAATATGACATTACTTTCTAAACAATCTAATATTTAATATATTTTTATTCCATGGATGCAAACATTCTGAAGATGATCCATATTACTTATTTTATGATTCAATGTTTTTGGTTCCAAGTATTTTATCTAAAATAATAGCAATTAGTTGTTGCATAAACATATGACATACAGTTTCTTTTTTCTGCAGCTCCTGACCCATTCCACCGCCAAAATACTGTGACTCAAGGTGAAGAGAACAAGAGGATTGCTACTCCATCTTATTCCTTACATGTCCGTAGTCTCTTGGACTGTATTAGCAAATGTATGCAGCATATGACATGCTCTATCCTCAGCTTACACACTCAATCATCAAATGAAGGGGCCAACTGTGATTTATTTCTTGGTACACGTCCACAGATCATTTTAACTGATGCTCCAGGTTGGAACATGTATTATATGAGACTAATTAGATAAACTAAAACTAATGCTAGAAAAACTACAGAATAAAATACATTTTTAAAGTATATGAATAAAATATAGAGAAAATAAAGTATTACACATTAGAGTTAAATCTTTCTTTTATTGTCTGATTATTTTATATTGAACTTATTCAACACGTGACAATGTTCCAATATTGATTTTGTTTTATCCTCTTATTTAGTATACTTTGTTCTTTTTATGTTTTTTATTTGTTTTTTTTTTCCTTTACTAGTGTCAAATGGAAAGTGTATAAACTGTAATCTATATCAATTTTTGCATATACTGTATTTGTCGGTGTCAAAGATGCTCCAGTGTCAAGGACACACCCCAAGTTTTTTTTTTTTTTTGCAAATTTTAAGTAAAAAGAATAAACATGAAAATAAAGTCTCATCACTATCCCTAACCTTATCAAAATGTTTTTTGGGTGGTTTATCATGTAGATCATCTTGACCACTTGTGAACTGGATTTTTATAATTTTACCCTTACAGTAAAGAGACAGGTAAGTTTATTTTCTCTTAGATGTATAAAATACTGAGTGGGATATGTACCCAGGGTAGAGCTGCATCAAACACAATGATACTCCAGTTCCACATTGTTCTTGCCAGCAGTGTTTTTCCATTCATTGAAATACCAGAAGGAAAAATTTTATCTGGATCTATTTCTTTAAAAATTTTAACCATAGGGTGAAATATACAAAAATTAAAAAAATAAAATAAAGCTTTACTTAAATGTAAAACAATAAAACATAAAAATTGTAAAAATAATGCAAACAAAATAGAAAAATAGACAGACCCTGTTAATGTTGTGACAAGTAGGTGTGGCTTAGCTTGGCAGTTGCCAACTATGATATTCATTGAGATAGAATGGTGCTACCTGTGTCTAACTTCCTTGATACTACTAGTCTGTTGGCTACCCTACCCTAGTCTGTTGGCTACCCTACCCTAGTCTGTTGGCTCCCCTACCCTAGTCTGTTGGCTACCCTACCCTAGTCTGCCACAAGGAACATTCTGTAAATATACATATTTTTTATGACTCTTTGTTTATTTACGACCTTAAACAGTGTATAATTTATAAATTTAATTAAGAGATCACAGTTTACCATCTGGCATAGATAACCTTCTCCTGGGGTTAGCATAGACCTACAAAAACTCTAACCTTTGTCCTCAAGGATGCACAACAAATTTCTCGACTTATTTCAGGAAGAAAACTGAATCCTTGATGCTGGCAAATACAGTAAGCATTTCTTCTGTACATAGATGTTTCCCAATATTTGATATGTGATTATATTCCTCTCAATAAATCCTCAGCAAATCTTTAAAGAGTTGTTTCTTTCATTTTAAACTATTTTTTAAAATTTCTAATTCTCATTCAATCAGTCAGAAAAAAAAGAAGTACAAGAAAAATTCAAGAACTAAATGAAAATAATGCAATATCTTTGATTTTTCTGCAGAGATACAATTATTATTATATTATCTCCCTTTAGTTGAGACAAAGTCACATGGGTCACATGACAACCACTTAATGACATCACTTTATAGAGTGACGAATGTGATCAGTCCATCAGTTAGCTTCCAGGTTTCAAACTGAGTGTTTGCCTTTTTAGTACAGGCTGAGGCTAAATCTGCTTCACCTGGGCAGTGGCTAAATCAGCCTTTTCCAGGTGAACTACCAAAGGAATAGCTCACAAGAATTTGGCACCATTTCCCTTTGGGAATATATATAAAAAGAAGTACAAGAAAAGATTCAAGAACTAAATAAAAATGATGCAAGATCTTTGATTTTTCTGTAGAGTGATTATCTCCTTTTAGTTGAGACAAAGTCACATGAGGCACATGACAACCACTTAGTGACATCACTTCATAGAGTGACAAATGTGATCAGTTCATCAGTTAGCTTCCAGGTGTCAAATTGAGTGTTTGGCTTTTTAGTACAGGCTGAGGCTAAATCTGCCTTTCTCAGGTGAGCTACCAAAAGGGTAACTCACAAGAATTTGGCACCATTTTCCTTTGGGAATATATCCTCACTAGATACAGAAACTACCTGTAGCTTGCAGTCCTTATGTTAGGAAATACCTATGCCTTGCTGCTTTCTCAATTGAGAAATATATCCTTGCTAGTGATATAGAAAATAAATCTGGCTAGCTCAAATCACTATTGGAAAGTATAAATATAGCTTCTCCAGAAACACAGAAGACTCCTCCAACAAGTCAAATTCCTGTTGGGAATTATAAGTAAGACCCTCTATCTCTTTGAGATTTTTGAATTGTTTGTTATGGTATACATATATTATGGTTTCTTTGTATGGAACACATGTAAATATGTGTATATAATGTTGTGTATGACTTAGCAAGTATAAAACACTCTCTATGAACAAAACATGTTTGTTATTCCTTTTCTTTCAGCTATTCCTTTCTGTTCATGTACCAAGATGATATTATATCATGGATATAATAATGCCCATAATAAGGAAAAAGAAAACTGAGAGAATATTTTCTTCTCACATAACACTACCTTTATTTCCATATATTTCTGAATATCAGCTTAACATATATACCACATATAGCAGCAAGAATAACAAACAAAACCAAAAATTATTGCTGGTGAGGTGGAAAGAAAAGGAGACAAGATATGTTAAAATAAAATTCTCTGTATTGCCATTATAATGGATCAAGGTGGAATGTCTCTTTGTGTGCAAGGGGAGCAACCTGATGGATGGGGTAGTCAACTGTGTATAGGTCTGGTGTAGATGCTTGTGTTGGGTCAGTTGACCAGGAGGTCGCTAGTGAACTCTGACTGCCTGTCTTCTGCTTCGAGTGTCATGAGAAGGTCATTTTAAACAGTCAGGGTGGGTAATGACTCATTGTCATGCTTTTGGTTTAGTGGCAATGTTTGTGATTGGCTCTGACTCTTAATTGTATTTTATTTTGGGGGAATTTGTTTTGTGAACCAGATGTGATGCAGAGAGTGATTTTTTTTTTTAAAATTTGCTTTTCTATTATTCACATCCAAGTTTTGAGGTGGAGTGAATCAGAAAGAGATTTACTTTGAAGGAGAGTATAACAAATATGTAATTTCCCTCAATAAAACAAACTGTAGATCCACCCCAAAACTTAATCTATTTTTCCTTGGCCCAACTTTTCATAAAATATTATTGAAATTAATCAAGAACTTTTGGATATATATTATGTAGGCAAACAGATATACATAGACAAATATGACAACCTATAACATGAAGCAGGAATTTACACTAGAGGCTGTAATGTTACAAGAAATACACAGGTGAAACATCTAGGAATTTAAATAAAAGAATATATGAACATGAAAGGGATCTTTTATGAAACAAAACACTTAAACATAATAAGTCTGACCATAATTTTGACTTAAAGAAGGCAGTGTTTATTAAGATGAAAATGTATAGAAAGTGCAATAATTTCTGAGTTTGCCATGATAAATTTACATCCAGGTACATATAGCACATTGTCTGTAACTACTGCTCTTATAATGTGGGATAGTTAAGGACAACAGCAATAGAAACAAAAGCAGTAATGGGTTGAAAGAGTTTTGCTGGGTTGGGCATCTTCTATAAAATGGTGACCCTCTAAAATGGTGACCCTGTAAAAGAACTTTAAATGTAACTGCTCTGATAAAAGGATTTTTGTTCCAAGAAACTCAATAAAAAATAAAAATAAATACAAACAAAACATAAAAAGCAAAAATAAAAACAGTTGCATATTTTCAGAAACATCTTTGGCATTTGCATCATAATAAATTTTTTGGGAAATGAAGTATGACAAAGTAAAAAATGTTTTTGTGTGATTCATTTCGTCCTTTAGAAATTCATTGGATTAAGTTTATGATTATGTTAATGAAACTCCACTTACACACGAACGAAAGAGAATCACTAAGAATTTAAAATTTAAAAATAATTCATTTTTTTTAAATATGTGTTTTGTGTATATAATCTGGTCAATTTCATTTAGATTCTTTTTCTTTATGTTTTCACCACTTTTATCATATTTTTTCTCCTAAAATTATTCTTGATATACATAAAAAATGGTGACCCTCTAAAATAGTGACGTTGTAAAATGGTGACCCTCTAAAATAGTGACGTCGTAAAATGGTGACATTGTAAAATGGTAACCATTTAAAATGGTGGCCATGTGAAATGGAGATCCTTTAAAAAGAATTTTAAATATAACTGCTCTGATAAATGGCTTTTTGTTTCAAGAAACTTAATAAAAAAATAAAAATAAATACAAATACAACATAAAAAGCAAAAATAAAAACAGTTGCAGATTTTTGGAAACATCTTTAATATTTGCATCATAATAAATTTTAGGGAAAGAATATGACAAAATGGAAAAAGGTTTTGTGTATTTTTCCATATTTTGAAACATTTTGTTCACAAATTGGAGTAAAAATAGGAGGGGTTAGGGTTAGGATATACTCTGCATATAGGCAGGAAAAGTATTATCCATTACTAAAATCAATGGTTTTAATTTTAACTATAGTAATAAACTTTTCAATTGAAATATTTAGGACCAAAAGTTAGTTTTCTATACACCAGGGTTTCTGAAAGGGGTTCAAGAAAGGATAATCAGAAAAAATATTAATTATTAAAAAAAAAAGAAGTCTATCCTCAGTTATTAGATTAGGTTGTTAAAATATTTCTCTATTTTCCAACAACATGAAGCAGGATTTTCCACATCAACACCACCAGCATCACTACAACCACCATCATCATCATCATTATTATCACCAGGTATGGTCACAGGGTCATCTGCAGCTGGGCACCTAACTAGCTATCTCTATATATCTCAGTTGAGGGCCAATCTCTTTGTGAAGAATCTTACAGTTCAATCGGTGGTGTTGTCGAACAATGTTTTTTTCCTTGCATTAAAAAAGAATAAAACAAAAAAGGGAAGTACTCAAATAATGAAAAATTAAAACTTATATCATCAAGAATTCTCAACAAACTGGAATATTCTTAGAAT